TCATCCAGCAGCTAATGGAAGCAGAAGCAGGCACCATATCTAAATACTGTGCTGAACTCTGGAATCCAATTGCAGAGAAGGAGGAGTGATGAGCAAAGGGGTTAAACCCACAGAAACAGCTGACCTGAATAAGGGGGAGCTCATGGACCCCAGACTGATAGCTGGAAAACTAGCATAAGGATGTTTCAGACCCCCTAAATGTGGATGTCATTTTGGAGGTCTGGGTAATCTATGGGGCCTCTGGTAGTGGATCAGTACTTATCCCTAGTGTATATGAATGGACTTTGGGAGCCCACTCCACACAGAGGGATAGTCTCTCAGCCTAGACACATGGGGGAGGGCCTAGGCCCTGCTCCAAATGATATGACAGACTTTGAAGATCTCTCATGGAAGGCCTCACCCTCCCTGGGGAGCAGAAAGTGGGTGGGATAGGGGGGTCAGTGGGGGTAGGGGAGGAGGAGAGGGAACTTGGATTATCATGTGAAACAAGCTTGTTTCTAATTTAAATTTAAAAAATAAAGAAAAAAGTCAATTAATTGATCCACCACATATCCAGCCCTATGTTAAGAGATACGGTAAATGAAAAGTGGGGAGATACAATTCTGTTAGAGGAATGCGACTAATGAGCGTATTTATTGGCATTTGATATTGAGATATCAGTCATGTGCTGGGATCTTGTTTGGCTTTTGCCTTCCCCCAGATACTAACTAGTAAGTCAGATGTGTGCTATGAAATTGGTACTTAAGTGAGTCTACTGTGCAGTGGGGATGAGGGTTTCTCATCTGGAATAAAAGGAACGTTGCAATTGAATACAGCCAACTCCTAATATGCCAAGGCAAAAAAGAGCCAAGGAAGGCCTGGCAACTGTCCCCGAGAAGGAAGGACAGTGGCCAGTCTGGAGTTGAACTGTGTGATGGTATCCATCTGAACTCCCTGCAACATGGGAACCACAGATGGAGACATTTGTTTCTAGGAGTGAGTTCACTGCATTGTTGCTATGACCAAATAATTGACAAGGGGCAACTGAAGAAAGGTTTTATAGTTTGGGGTGCAGCCTGCCATGACAGAAAGGTATGGCAGCGGGATCATGAGGTACTGGTCGTATTACAGCTGTAATCACGAAGCAGAGTGGAATCGTCATGGGACTGGCTATAAAATCTCAAGGGCCCACTCCCCAGGGACCCAACTTCCTCCAATAAGGCTCAATCTCCTAAAGGTTCCACAGCCTTCTAAAACTGTAGCACCAGCTAGGGTACTGCTCAAATCTGAACCCCCAAGAGATATTTCAGATTTAAACTTCAACACTCATAATGGAAATGATGCCTTTGACAGAACTTAAAACACTTGGCGTTGTCTGCAGAGTAATGGGAGAAGTACAGTTACAGTGTCTCAACAGCACTGCCTGGGTGAAGTCACCATGAGGAGTCTATGGACCCATTTTCCTTCACTTGGTGACATTTGAAGTCTCCTATTCTGTAACCCTTTGCTTTTTACTCCCTTGGCCATCTTAAAGCAAACTGTTCATTACTATTATAAATCTTCAAACAACAGAGGACAGCTGTTTTAGTTTGCCTTCAGTAGAAGACTGACCTCTTTGAAGGCAGCCATTTTCCTTCATCATCACAGGATGGAGCCCTGTCAGTGAAGTTTTGTTGAATGGATAACAAGCACTGTCAAACTCTTAAACTCGTGAGCCCAGAGGGGAAAAAAATTCCATAGCCCTTAGCAACTCTTTCAAGCTACAAAGCATGTGGTACAGGACTTCTCTGGAGATGACAGTAAACATGAGATGAAATGACCAGCGCATTTTCTCCATTGTGATAAAGTTCTCCATATTTTTTGGTTTGTGAAGGCCTGGGCAGTAAATCAGTGAGCTCTGAAATGAAAGCTCTATAAATAAATTGGTTCCAGTGGGCTAGTCGTACGACGGATGGTGTATTTTCCAGTCACAGCGACAATTTTAATGAGCCGTCCCAGTGATGGATGGCGCTCTCATGGCACTCTGTCCTCAGCGTGGTGAGTGCTGGTCCTGGAAGTTCAGTGTCCTGTCCTTATATTAGGGGCCAGATCTTTACATGTGTCAAGGCAGGTCCAGCTTGGAGTTTTTTATTTAACAGCAAGTTAAGCCTGAGGCCGAGCTCAGAATGTCGTGATTGAGTGCTGTAGAGAGAAGAGAGTTTCTCCATTTGTGGAGAGCCAAATGCAGATAAGCAAGTGTGTTTTGGTGGCTACTCATTTATCTCCCCACCCCCTTTATTTTCCTTTTCAAAGTATCTCAGCGGTTTTCTGTTGAGCTGATTTATGACAGCGATATCCAGCTAGAGGATACAAAGTGGGATCTTTTGAGAAGATAATCTGAACTTTGGATAGGAAACAATCTATTATATCTACTTTTGCTAAATGTGTCACAAGACACTTATTTCTAGAGATGGCTTCAGAAACTGGTTATGAAGATTATTTTTTTGTTTGTTGTCACAACCCCAAACCTCTCACAGGGGTCTCCTAAGACTGTCAGAAGACACAAATATTTACAAGATTCATAACAGCAGCAAAATTACAGATAAGAAGTGGCAATGAAAATTATTGCATGATTGGGGGTCACCCCCAACATATGGAACTGTTTTAAAAGGTCACAGTTATTAGGAAGGTTGAGAATTGCTGGCCTAGAGGATTTGGTAGTGCTCCATGCCTCTTGTCAGATGGTCAAAGGTCATCTTGAAATATACTTCTGTACACACCTCAGAGAACTCAGTTGCCAATTTGGGTTCATACCAAATTCCCTCTCTATACCCTAAAAAGAGGCTGGATGGGTACATGAACTGGCTAGGTTCCTATAGCTAGTTAGAGGCAGCAGTAAGACCAACAGGGCTCTCCCACTGCAAATTAGACCACATCCCTTTCCCTGTGGAGTCTGTACCACGAACGCCAATTGTATCATGATGTAACATTACTAGCATGTGTTAATGATAATACTTGTTGATAAAAATACTAGAAGTACTCTGAAGAGGTGACATGAAGTCGCCATTTTCACCCTTTGTATCCATGGAGAGTCTGCAGAGTTTGCTGGAGTACAGTGATAGCTCTGCTCTTGAGTTACCAAGTGAGGGATGACATCTGAGAGTTGGCATTTCAACAAAAGTACCAGCTGGTGCTGATGGGCTCTGAGAAAGAGCATGTTATTTCAGGCCATTCGTCATTGGCCACCATGTTTTCCTTGCCAGCTGTGTCACATTGTTCATTACCTAGCAGGAAGAGTTACTGGTGACCCTTCTTTGAACTGTTCTGTGCACTTTTTCATAGTCTTTAGATTCTGTCCTGAGGCAGCTTGGCTTTGAGTGAGATTGCCTTGGCACTCTGTATTCTAACATGCTGCAAGATCTTGAATAAGTCTTGTCATGCCTAGGCTTTTCTGGTCTGTAGAATGGGAGCAATATCTTCTAACTCAGAATAGAACTGTTGGGGGATTGGTTTGGAGAAAACACAGGGAGAGTATAGTGGTTAATAACCACTTGGTGTGTCAGAGGTCAGTCATAGTGACATCTCAGGGACTCTGAGTCACAGATACAATGGCTGCTCTCTACGATTAGGAGGAATCTGGAACCCCCACTCCCCCACAACACACACCTGTGATACCAGCACAACTTATTGTCATGACTGAAGGGAGGCTGATGCAAACAAACGTATAGTGCAAGCTGGTGTAAAAGTAGCCTGGGCAGTACCTGAGCTCTGACAGTTGTTATTGGCATATGTAGTTGGTGTATTTTAGGGTGCACTTCTAATCATGAAATTTTTTTCTGTAAAAGTTTGCTGTATTACAGCAGCAGTAGCCCCAGACAGCTCAAGTTCATGTGTCTTGACTGTACCATTTGCTCTAATGCTTCACCTACTCTCACAGTCTTTAGTCTCTTTGGGCCCTAGGCACCTGTAGGTACATGCCATAGAGCCCAGGTATAGTGTAACAGGCTATGTCATCTAGATGCATGGAAACATGCTCTATGATATTCACACAATGACAAAATTATACAGGCATTCCAGAATGTATCCTTGCCACTACGTAATGCATGTCAGTGTACCCTCCAGGCAGAATTAAGTAAGCAGAATTACTCAGCAGATGAAAGGGTTCAGAAACCAAAAAGAGGCTATATTGGGAAAACAGAAGATTAGAAGCAGCACGAGACTGCAGACATTTGGAAGACTAGACCAGAGCCGTGTCTGAGAGCTAATACACATGATGTCATCCATACCTGAAGAAGACAACCCGTACAGCAGAAACTGCAGCTATGGAAGAGACTCTCATGGATCCAGGGAATGAGTTCTATGATACCACAGAGCTAGGAAAAGGCAGGACATGAACGTCAGAGCTACTGCCATGCCTAACATGCACCAGCCATTGTTGGCATGGCAGTAAATGTGGGTGTCCTCACCCTTACTCCTAGATTATGTCTTATCTAGCAGCCTCACTGTGCTTATACAATGTGTGAACTACATATATACACACACAGTAGTGTGGTCACAGGTTCAACTAGCGGGAAATGTCAGTGGGGGAAGTTTTTTCACAGTAAGAGCTGCTTCTTGACCAGTCATTACAATGCAAACTGGCATCAAGGAAGTAACTTGACCCTATTTATAGTCTCAAGTCACACCACTGCATTCTGTTCTTGTACCATGAGTTTAAGTCATCCAGTGTACAAAAGACATAACCAGAAGCCATCAAAACCATAGGTACTAGGAGCTAATTGTTAAGGCTGGGTGGAGGATGGGAAGGATGGAGGAAAATGAGACTTTTTTTTAAGTAGCAAGAGCACGCCTTGAAATGCTATCACCTAGGGGTATTTATTTTTATCATTTAAGCATTAAGATGCTATGTACATAACATTGAGCACATCCAAGTGACCAACTTGTACCTTTCTGTTTATAAAACTGGGTTGGGATAATGAAACAAGTGGGTTGGTGGGAATTTAGAAATGTCTCCGGTGAAAACTAAAATTTCAAATGGAAACTTAAGTTTCAAAACAACCTTTATTCTGTTTGAGGACCTAATACAATGCATTAAGCAACTTAAAACAATACATAGCTTCACTGAATCTATAACTTGAACAAATGTCAAGGAGGCACACTCCCTCCCCCCACCCCAGTTGCCTTGTAAAGGCAAAATCACAACTGACCATGACATCCTCCCTCTCGTCAAAAGACCAACTTTATTTTAGCAATGTCATATAAACAGATTCGTAAAAACATTGAACAGAGTGTAGCTTTAAAAAATACACACATATAAGTGAGGGTGGGTTTCATTTTTTGTTTTGCTTTTTTTTTTTCTTAAATAGCAGCATCCTGGGCAGCCAATGCTATCACATGGTGACAAGTTCAGTGTGAAGTTGGAGAGTCTGTTCGATGAGCCACTTCCTCCCTACCCTCACTACTAGTTATTTTATATATAACTATAGATTTTTGTAAAAAAAAACAAAACAAAAAACAGGAGAATTTGGCATTTTGGAACTTTGTCCCATGTGAGGCATTGTGCTTTTAACTGCCCCTTTCTTAAATGACCCTAAATTCAAACAGACAGCAACGCCCACTTTTCCAACTGACTTAGATACCATGCATTGCAAAAAGCACAGTTGGGAAAACCAGCAGGAACTTTCTCCCAATAAGGAACAACAGTAGGGCTTCCCAACCACATTACTACTTCATAACCAGATACTTGACAAAGGGATTGGTTCCTCACACTGACAGCTTACAGAAACACACTCTGACTTGACAACACTGAAAGCGAATATATGTCAGGTAAGCAAATCATCCAGACCTGCTCCCTGAAAGGGCATAGCTTCTAAAAACAGAAAAATGTCAAATGATGAACTTCTCACTTCATTTGCCAACAATTTTCACCTTTATAAGACAAAACGAAGCAACATCAAAGGGGAAAAAAAAGCCCACACACATATACAAGACTGTACTAGACACCTGCTTGCTATGTACTTGAACTTGACTGTGGATCTGCGTGGCTGAAAGGTGTACTGAAAACACAGTCCATGCACATATACATATATACATATATCCAGGGCCATGAAGTTGTCGAAAGTTGCAAACATATGCTTGCTGCCTTTTCATGTGGTTATGACCGCTCTGGTGTGGGATATGTGGTCCCAACCCGCCCACTGCTTTAGTCTAGCTCAGCCTCTCAGCAGCTTAGTGTCTGGCTGTCTTTAAGGTGTGACAGTTGGTGAGAAAAACTATGTGGGGATGCTTCCATATCAGGAGTGCTGTATCCAGCTGCATTTATGAGCCACTCAATGGATGCTACTGGATGACTGCCTTGAGGATCACAGAAACTTAGTGATCAGACTTCTCTAAGGACAGAGTTGGTGGCATACTAACCTGTCATCAAAAAGGCACTCAGCAGGACAGGTGCGACATGATTCACTATTGTGTAGAAAAATGACTTCCGCCTTCTGACCAATGGAAAATCTATTGTACCAAAGTTCGTGAGATGAGACATTTTTGCAAGTCATCTTGCAAAGAGTGTTGAAGAAAAGCCACCAACAGAACTTGTAATGGAATGGCTAATCTCAGATCTATTTTAAAAATTAAAATGAAAGTTGTTTGTATGGGATAGCATACATGATGTGCTACTTAAAAAAGAAAAGGAAAAGAAAAGCAAACTCCAACCACAAATCTAGCTTACAAACAACTATTAACTGTTCAGTCTTATGTGGCATGGCAGAATGCTACCACTGGAGTTTGCAAAGCCCAGAGTAAACCCAGGAAATCATCAATTGCCTGGCAGTAAGGACGTGGTCAGGTTAGAAGGGTCAAGTCTGCGGGCTCACAGTTTGGCTGACGAACTTTTCCTTGTGAGGATGAGCAGTGGCTTCATAGGAAGAAAAAAAAAATACATTCTACAGACCATTAACCCAGCCACCAGGCTGCAAATTCCAAAAGCTGAAAACAACAAAAGCAAAAGACACAAATACCTTCACCTTGGTCTAGAAAGGGAAGAGAAATAAAGTTGTGGGCGTGTCTAATACTGAGAAAGGGGAAATGAAGCTGAAGGTGCTCTCTGAATCTACCAGGGCGGCGACTGACTTCGGTTAGCCTCTGCTCTTCACAGCACATGACAATTCCCAATGAACACGCCAGTTTCTGCACACGCACATCAGCGTAGCGAAACTTGAACACTCTCTTAAAGATGCCATCTCCTGCTCCCTTTCCTCACCATGAAGTACAACATGCACAACATGTGCATGAGAACTGCCATTTGCGTCTCTTTTAACTGTTTCGACAAAGCGCTGGGACCATCCACTTGGGTCGACTCGCTTTACGTTCTAAAGTGAATGGAGAGCCAGGAAGATAACAAAACGTCCAACCAAAAGGATTGCCTTTCGGACCATGCTTTTGTTAAAATGAATGGTTGGTGGCTGCTGTGGCTAATCCAATATTAAAAGGAGGAAGAACACATTTTCTAAATGCAGGGATTCAACCTTGAGACCAGTGTGTTCAACAACAACAAACAGAGCGCATTCCAGGAACCCCAAAACAAACTCAGCACTTCTTTCATGAGGAGAGAGATGCTGGCAGCTACGCTGTGATGGAGTTACAGTAGTTCTGGAGTTGCAGCCTCACTTCTCCCCTTCTCTGGAATCCCCAGAAAGTGCACACCACCTTACCCGCTCCCAACCCGCCCCCCTCCCACCTGTTACAACCCATGGCTACCTTCCCCCCTCCAGATTCAAGGAGTTCACAATTCATTAGGAAACAAACATTGCCAGGTACCGTATTTCAAGAGTCTTAAAACAACACTGTTGGACTCAGCAATACTTTGTCACATCATATATCATTTTCTTTTTCTTTTTTATTGAATAAAGCAGCTTCAAAGCTTATCAGGCCCTGCCCAACATTTAGTCAAAAAAAAATCTGTTATGAACTTTTTTAACCTTGGGCTATCAGCCAAGTACTCTGTACAAGAAAAACTGTAAAATATTTCATAGTTTTAATTCTTAAGCCATTTTCCTTTCTGGCATCCTGTACATTTCTTAAGAAAAAAAAAAAAGGTAAGAATAACAAAACAAATATTAACAAAAAACGAGGGACAATATTTTCAAGCAACAAAAACTGGGATGAGGGAAAGCTTCTTCTGAAGGTGTGTTTGAAACTGGTAACAACGTAATAAAAAGTAAGAATTGCATAGCACTGCACGTTTAGCCTTCAGCAAAACAAAACAGAAGCTATTTGGTATTGATACAAATCCATCTATTTGATAGTTAGTCACCCACTAATATGTACATATTTTATATACTGAATGTCATTTTAAGTTCCCTGTCCACACTCCTTTGTCTGTTGGTGGGTTGTTGGTTGTTGATTTGACAAGTTTTAAGCAAAACGTTTTCTGGTGTTTTTGTTTTTCCTCTGAACATACTGCATCAATGTTCTCTCAAAGTGTCCTGTGAGAGCAGACATGCCTCTCTGTTCCACATCGTACGTTCATTAAAAAGGAAATAACCCACAGTGCGACGTGTCTGGGTTCACCACACCCAGCGACACCCAGGCTAAACCAGGCTGGACCAAGCGGTCCCAGGCACAGGTTCTTCAGCCCTGTCTACCTTCTGGTCTCCAAAGTTCCAACTTGTAGCTGGTAAAGCTTCAGAAAACATTAACAAGCACCATGGTTAAAGGCCTCTTTGTCCCTGCACGGAGAGATTTTTGCATTTCTTTTTCTGTGTGTTGGTTGTGTGTTGTGGCTTTAAATTAAAAAAAAAAAAAAAGAAAAAGGATAAGGTTAGAAATGTCTAGTCATCCAACAGCCCTAGGCTGCCGTGTCTTCCCGACTTCTTTTTGTCCAAGAAAGCTCTAGTCCCACGTGCAGACAGCCGGCTTCGTTTCTGCAGCTCAGTTCACAGGTCGGGCTGGAGAGGAGCCCTTTGCTTCCCAGAGGCCTTGGGTGGCTTGAAGGTGAGGAACTGGATCTGAGGGCAGCGCTCGCTTCATCGCCTCTGTTGTGCATATACCGGGTATGCTAGTGTGACATTGAGGGAGTCATTGTGCTGCACGAGGGACGTGTGTTGGTAATGTAGCACCAGCTCCTTCAGGGAGCTGTACAGGTTGTAGGGCTCGGCAAAGCCATAGCCGGTGGCAGTCTTGTTGATGACACAATGCTTGACTTCGCCATCTACCCTGGAGAGGGGAGAGCGAACAAAAAAATGTCTTTGGAGCTGGTCTCGGACAAACGGAACGCTGCAGGGTATTTTTTAACAAAGCCAAACGTCATGGACGGACACAGTGAATGGGGTCTGTTTCACTACTGCGGAGCCCCAGTAAACTATTAGTGCTGCTTTTACTGGTCAAGTGACACACACACAGGGGCTAAACATTTGGGCCTGCTTCCCTGGACTGTTGCATGGTTTAAAGGAGAGGGAGGGTTCCTATGAGACATGAGATGAGTGCTTGATAGAAGACTGCATGTCACATGCTGCAAATGTGGGACAAATGGCCGTTTCCAACCCCACAGGTGCTGGCTTTACTGTCTCTGTGAGAACATGCTAGCTTTCCTCCGGTTATAGTCAACAGGTCTCTTTCAAGCTCTCCTTGAAATGTTATCACAACTCTCTATCTTGGCATTTATTCTGAATTCTTCTATTCTCTCGTCTTAACTCAAAATTCTCCCTCTGTGTGTCTTTTGGGAATAGTTCTTAAATGAAGCAGTGCTTGGCCATAGACTATAAGGTACTTTTAGTGTCTTTCTACAACAGGAGGACATAATTTCTGTCCCGATGATGCTAGTGACTCCAAAGCCTTTGTTCTTTTGGTTGACTCAGGGTCTCCATATACAGCCTATGCTAATCTCAGTCACTGAGTGCTAAGATTACAGACATTATGCTCAACCTTCCATTTTTACTTTTCAAAGTACTTCTGAAACTATTGTGCAATAAAAAGGAATTGGGCCACAAGACAGAAATATGTCTCCTTTGGGGTGTATCTCTGCATGATCTTAATGGGGTCCTTCCTCAATCCCCGAAGGGTTACTTTATGTTCAGTGATGTTCTCACAAAAATGACCTTGCATTTTAACTATATTGAGTTTTAGAGGGGTGGAGGACAGTGGGAAGGCATGGTCGGTCGTTTCTGTTTATAATTAAGATGAGGGGGAAAAACCCCAACAACCTCAAGACATCTAGGGATTAACTTTTCCCGACACTGGAACCCAAGTCCCAAGTGTCCTACTATACGGCGACAGATGTCTCTGTTACGTTCTTCACAGATTCACCTGTCTGCCTAGACTAACCACAGCAGATGAGTTTTCGAGGTTAAGACGGTTTCAAACCCTGATCCCTAGTGAACAAATGAACGAAGTATAACGAGCAAGTTTTCTGGAGTTACTTACACTACAGAGCAGGCGTAGCAGCCCTGCTTGCTGCTCTCCCGGACAAGAAAAGTGCCATCTCGCTTCCCTCGTAATAGACTCTCGGCTTTGTTTCGATTGCTGCTGCCAACATTCCATGTCTTTTCATCGTGGTGGGGCAAGTCCTCCTCGTCTTCCACCAGGGAGTATTGGCTACAGAGGCAGAAACGGAGGTTTGTGAGTCAAGGGGGTGGGAACCCCACCCTGGCCCCAAGGTCTCCTTCTGAGTAGGCAGATTAGACGACGACTCAGCCTCCTCACCAACCCCCAGGGGCAATGATTACCAAAGTTATTACTATCTCTATTTTCAAGTCGGCAATCACCCTTAGGTACCTTGGCAGAGGGCAAGGACAGTATTAAGAAGATTGCCAGTTCTCAAATAATTCATACCAAACATATACCTAACCTTCAAAATATACTAAATGTAATTGTTTTTCTCTCATTGTTCCAAAAATATTTGGGGGAGTTTTCTGATGTTCAGGGACATCATTATGAACACACAGGGTCAATTTACACAATTGTGGGGAAAACAACAACAAAAAAACCACCCCATTCTTCCTGGGCTCAACTTTCCCTTTGTAAAGCCCTGGATAATGCTACCAAGTTTATATAGTTTTGCTTGAGAGAGGTCCTAAGAAAAAAATCTGTGAACTAAACTGCATGCTACCACCCATGCTACTTACTCTTCGGTGTTTTCATTTCCCAGCCACTCGTTCAACTTCTTCTGCCGAACCCCTTTCTGCGTCAGCCACCTGAAAGAGTTGTGCAAAAGAGGAAAGGCATTGAGGACCCCTCTTTGGTTTTAGCCGCAGTCAGTTCTCCGGGTTCCATTTCAAACACTTACATCAAGTATTGGTCTCTTGTCTTTCTCAGCTGAATGAGGTCTGGCTTAATGCTGTTCATGCGCTTGTCAATCTCGCGGTATTCGGCTGCCTGCTTCTTCAAGTCTTCCTCTAATCTCCTCCTGCTGTCAATGATCTCACTGATGCGAGACTTTAGCTTATCATAGTTATGCATGATCCTGCAGGCACGAGAAACAAATGGCTAAGTACCTGGGTCTACCACACAAGGTCCCCAACGTTTAGGACGCTTTGTTTAGTCCATTTTTGAAAACTGCTCAAACGACTGGAAGGGAGAGCATCTCTTTGACCAGTCCGGTCTGTCACAAGGGTATTGGGGATGTTTATGGAGCATCTACCTTTGAATTTCTTTCTCGTTGCCTTCACGCTTAAACTTTTCTATGTATTCCTTGCTGTACCGCTCCTGGGTCTGGCATTGTTCTTCAAATATTTTTATGGTTTCATTGAATGCTTCAATAGCTGTTCTTTTCATTTGAATTTCCTGCAACACAAGTTTCAGAAGACAACGTCATTGCTTTCAGAATATGACTTCTCACTGTCAGAGACAAGCTAGCTAGTGATGCAATGTAACTGTGCTGCTAGTTGGTACAGTCATCCGTGGGCACCATAAGCTTAATTACAGGAGCCCTCTTGGCCGCTAGCAGCCAGATGGTTAAGTTCCTTATTGAAGTGATGTAATGGCCACAAGGGACCTGTGCGATTTTTCTCATCAACTCCAAATCATCTCTAAATGGCTTAAGCAACAGTACAAGGGGTTGGGGGTTGGCAAGTATACAGTCTGTACTGTATATCCTCAATACAGGACCAGGACACAGGGAAAGCCGGCCTGTACTCTCTTTTCAGAGCTGGATAGGAATTCACAAATCTAGTCAAAGGATATAGAAACAGACATTTCTTGTGGAGAATTGTCTGCCTACTTTGACTTTTTATTTCTCTTTTTTTTTTTGAGATTACAGTGTATCATCTCCTTCTTCCCTCTCTTCTCTCTAAACCCTCCTGTATACCCTCCATGCTTTCTTTCAAATTCATGGTTCTTTTTTCCACTAATGGGGTGTGTGTTTATGTGCTCCTAAATATGTAAGTACAGCCTGGTCAGTCTTTTAAAAGGCAGTTTTGTTTTGTATCATCCATGTTCCTTTCTCCTTTGGCAATCAGTATAGCGGACACGACACTTCTCACAGCAGGGGGAGGGATGTGTAATTTCCATCCCAGAGCCTGGACAAGCTGACATTAGCAGCTATTACTAGTGTCCAGCCTGGACAGAAGTCTCCAGTCAGGAACGGACTGAAAGCTCACAGTAACCTGCCAGTTAGAAGCAAGCGTATTGTGGGATTCTTAAAAGCATGGACCACACTGGAAAGGGTTAGACACAATTCTTCTTTAGAATCTGATTTATAACCTGTGTTAGTCTAAAATACCTTAAACTCACCTGGGAAGTACGGGTGTATTCTTCATATAATCTATCGTATTCCCGACTTTTTTCTTGAAATTGAGTATTATATTCATGTAACTTTTTCCCTACAGCTTCAATATTATCTTCTTTGACAACTTGATCCTAGAAGGATATACAAGGCAGAAAAAAAGAACTAAATTGATAAGGTATTACTCAAATAACAATCCTTAATGAAACAGTCAATGTGTTATCTGATTCAGCTCTTGTGACATTCTGATCATGGTATAAAGTTTGAAAGCAGTTTCAAATCACATTCTGCGATGGAGGGTGGCTTGGCCCTGTGCTACTGGAGTTAGAGGGGCTGTGAAGAAATTACCTGCTGGTACTTGGACACTGGGTAGAGTAGCTTCACATCTAGCTTGGGGTTGTACTGAGCTAGAGACTCATTCCGGTAGTGGTTTATTAGTTCAACCACAGAGTTGAAGGTTAATGGATCAGAGAAGCCATATTTTCCATCTCGGTGAAATATTTTGATTAATTTGTTATTTCCTCCTTTCCTGTAAATATAATATAAAAATAATGATTATTAAAGTTTTCTGATGCAGCAGTGTGGGGCTCTTGGGGAAGAAGCGGACAGGGATGAACAAGTATGTTTGAATATCCTATAAAGAAGCCCATTACTTGAGCTGCAGGTTTAAGGAGAAAAAAAAATCTAATTTAGAAATATTTTCATGACAACCCAGACATTCCAAGTACAGCTGACTCCCTGGCTCACCTTAGTGTAAGAGTATAATCGCCGTGCATTTTAGTAGACGCATCTCGTACCAAAAAGGTGCCGTCAGCTGTATCTCGGAGTTTTTCATTCACTTCTTCCCTGAAATGAACACAAAAGAAGGCCATGCTTACTTTTCAACTTTGAATGACAGCACGCTGACACAGAGAGACCCCATCTTCCCTCCTGCGCTCAGGATTGCTGCACTGCCGGGCCATACCCTCAGCCTTAACAGACACCATCCTTTAGGGACGGTGAGAAGAGAGTGAAAGAGGTTCCGTACCTTTACATTCTCCTGTCCTTGTAGAGTCATGTCAGTATTGCATGTTTTCAAAAGTAACTAACAATTTCTCTTTGCTTAAACAGAAACGCTATAAATTCATCCCACTAAACGTAAGTGCAAGACACATACACTTACGTAGACATGTGTCTATTTAAACGACTGGCCTATGTGTACATGCACCCATTTACACTATCAGCATATCTAAAATACAAAGTTGTTGTTGTTGTTTATTCCTTTTAAATCATTTTCTAATAAACAGGCACAGAAAGTCATAACCCACAAAGAGGCTCTCCCAGCCCGCTCACTAACCACTAGAAAAGCTGAAAGGATATGTGAGGGGAGCAATAACCTGAATCCCTAAAGTCCTGCTCACTAGAGAGAAAGCAGGCAGTGCTCTGTCACCCCGGTGTGGTGATTCCCTGACATCTCTGTCAACAGGGACACTTCCCGGGTATTTAATTTCCTGTGTCATCCAGCACCCACAGCGCTCCAGTGCTCAGTGACTTTTCTGGCCGTCTTTGGAAAAGAACCAACTATGCTTCAGGCTTATGTTGGATGACATCCTAAAAATGGAATTCAGCAAGCTGGTGCTTTCTGTCTTCTTACTCGAAACCTCCCTGCATCTGGTGGATGCAGAACCTGTGGTCTTACCTTGAGATGTCTCCCCAGTACCATTCAGCATCCTGTAAGGACATATTGTTGTTCATGCCGTTGTTGGCTACAGTAGTGGGCTTGGGTGGCTTAGGGGGCAGTGCTGTAGGCAAAGGAGAGGGAAAAAAGTTGTTTGCAATCCTGGCTCCAAGGGCACATTTAAACTTAGGCTTGCATCTTTGCATGTGGACAGCATTTCATTACAACAATGAAGAGTAAGGGGAAAGTGGTGTGATTTTATTTTAATTAAAAATGCATGAAAATTCTATTTTCAGTTAAAAGGCAATTCAATTTACTAATGGGGTGGGGGTGTGAACACCAGAAATTCACAGTTCCATGTACCGTGACTGATATGGTTAAAAATCAAAACTGAAAAGAGGAAAAGTAGTAGTGAGTGACAGGAGGGTTGGGGGGAGGATGAGACAGACAGACAGACAGACAGACCTAGAGGTTAAGATATAAGTGGGGCTGACTATGGGAGAAAATTTCAAAGCTAATCCAGAGTCAACATTTCTACTTCTAGATTCTAGCTGTGTTAAGCTGTGCCCAGGCAGCTCCATCTAAAGTAACCAGGAACATCTGAGCTGCAGAAATAACAGGAATTGGCTTCATTTCTTCTCTTCTTTAATGAAAGAAGAAATTTGGTGTCTCTGTCCTGCAGGAGCGCAGTAATCACATCTTACTAAGAAACCCCACTTACAGCAGTGGGTTTTAAGAACTGGCTATCTCTACATTACTTCTCCAGGCACAGCTCTGCCAAAGCCACTTTAGGAAACTCATCTGTGACCTAAATCTCCCTAGTCTTCATGTTACTCTTCTGCTGGGGGACATTGTGCTCTACATGTTAGGTCCCATTAAAACCCCTATCCCTTCTTCAGTGTCAAATCAGTATGCACATAGTGACAGAGAAGCTGACAAGAATCCCGCCCTCCGCATTTCTGAATTTCTTCATTGCAGGGAAGGCTGACGCCAGGAAACAACCAGGATCCTAGGTTTTTAGCTAAGCCTGAAACATTAACTTTGAAAGGACTGTGACTGCTTTAATTCACACCCCAGATGATTTCAGGTGTCTAGCAGGACTCTTACAAAAGCAAGGAAAGCCAACTTCTTTTCCCATTGTAGTTCTCAGCTTGAGAGAGCAAGCGAGTCTCCACGTCTGGTTTACAAGAGTTTCAGGTCATCAGAAAGGAGTTTGAGTCACTGCTACATCTCACATGCTTTTCTAAAACACCCGGCATTGCCACAGCAAAGTACCACACTGCCAGAGTCCACAGCCAGCAGAGAAAACAGCACAAAGGACACGTCCCCTTAATTAAAGGAACAATATACAACAATATAGCCCAACTTGCCAAGGATCACAATTAACAAAAGACGCCAGCAGCAGAAAAGTGGAATCTAGTTCCCATCCATTCAGCAAGAACCAGCATGTATCAAATGCAGCCCAAGCTCCTTGCTGCTACAGTCAACAATCTGTTTAATTTTAAATTTCTAATCAGACTAATTTTAAACCCTGAAACAAATCAGTAAAAATAGCAGCCCCGAGAGTATCTGTTACAGCGGCTTTCCAAAAAAAAAAAATAATAATAATAATAAAAAAATGTAAGTCACAAGATAAACTAGCTCTCTCCATTAATATGGAGGTATTACCTGGTGGATCCATTTCTATATAAAACATCAAGTCCATGCCACAGTTTATATCTGTCTTGGCACATTCTAAGTCCAGGTCTTCCATAGTCCAAACCGTGGTGTACATTTGTGCGAGAGTTTCCTCGGCTGTGTTCAGTTATAAGAAGAGAGTCCGGCTTTCTTTGTAATGGTGTCTTGGAATTCATTTTAAAACCTATACGGGCTGCACTGTAGCCTATTACATCACACGCCCCAGCCAATCAAGTCAGAAAAATGTCACCAGACCACTCCTGCTCTATCAGGTCTCCTGGACGCCAGCTTCACACGGCCCCAGCCTCTCTCCGAGAAACCTACATGCCACACAGCTGCAATGCCTACACGCTCATCGTTTCCAAAGGTGTTTAATTTGCCTGCTCTCTTCCAGCAGTGAGTTCTCTAATTCCCTTTTTATTACTCCTTGCAGCATGGTACATTCCGCTGTTGGCAGACTGACAAATGGCTGATAAACTGCAGCTTCTAGCTCTGTTCCTTAGTGCATATGGGCTCAGAGATAGCCTGGGCTTTTCAGTGGTATAAAAATCTTAGAGGCATCAAGCTACTACCCTTAAGCTCTGTTTTATGGTCCTTAGATATCGGCTGTATATGTGAAAAGCAGAAAGGATCAAGCACTCTGGATATTTAAGACAGTCTTCCTCAAACACAGTCCTAAATGCACCTAATTAACAAGGGAAGCTAAAAGACAGTCCTTAGACAAAATGCCTATACCAGAATATCCCAAGGTCAAAATGAGACTTTACAGAATAAATATGAAAACTCAGCACAGGAATGAAGATGCCTATTATTTGCAGAAATGATAATCATAATGGCCAACACTGGTGAGTTTCAATGTTTCTACCTAATGACACTGGACAACAAGATGCTTCTGCTAAAATAAGAGGCCTTATATCAGAACACAGAGTTCAGGTGCTCTCTGCCAGTGTCTCCCTCAGGAACCCGTCTTACTGCTAGCTGCTTTAAAGAAGGTGATGTAATCGCTCTCTCTCTCTCTCTCTCTCTCTCTCTCTCTCTCTCTCTCTCTCTCTCTCTCTCTCTCTGCCCTCCCCCCTTCTCTCTTTTAGCTCAGTGCCTTACTCAGGGGGACAATATTCCTTCTTAGCAGTGTTCAATATAAAGAAATCAATTTCCCTACAAATCTAATGATTTATTTTGGTTCTTTAAATCATTTTGCATGTAATTCGGTCACCACAACTGGAGCTCGAGGTACACTACCACTGTGAGCCAGAATCTCCTGATTATGGGGGGGGCACTGCTCTGGTGTAAATGTGGCTTCATTTTTTAAAAACTAGAGTGGGCTCTGTGGATGTGTGTGCTACGCATCCGTGAGAAGATTTATGGAACTCAGAAGCCCTGTTAGATTTCTATCACATGTGGAATCACGATAAGTTCAGCAAAGCATTCTGTTCCCTGGCTGCTGTCCACTGGGGTCCCCTCTCTAGGGCATCTCTGCATTATTGGAGGCAGTTAGACTCAACCCTATACCTTCCAGTTCACGCTTCTCTATTTGCCTATAGGTTGAACTAAATCTAAACTAAAATTCAAATAAAAATGGTAAAAGTGGTGGTGAAGTATGTCCTTAGATAAGATTAAAAAAATAATAATGGCTGAATAAAAATGTTGAGTCTTCTCCTAAAGTAAGAGACAAGACCCTTTGGCAGTATAACCCATGGGTCAGCCCAAAGGGTCAGCGTGCAGCACTCCTACAGGCAGACTCCTGCCGCCATGTGGCAAGGGGACCCAAGGGGCAGATCAGGGAGACAGGTGACTTTCCATGTTCTCTGCAAGCTCTGGCTTGGTCCCAACTTCCTGACCCTTACTTTGTAAACTCCAAAACCAAACCCATCTCTTCCCTGCAGTGTCCCCCCCTGGAGGACAGAAGGGAGTGTCTCCCCTAATGGCCCATCTGCTCTCCCTAGGCAGCACTCACCCAGGAGCACACAACACACGCGCGCGCACACACACACACACACACACACACACACACACACACACACACACACACACACACACACACACACACACACACACACACACACACACACACACACACACACACACACACACACACACACACCCTCCCCAGCCAAACTGGAGAGGACAGGCTTCCAGATAAAGAGCCCGGTGGAGAGAAGTGCATAAATGAAAAGCGACTTACTTTGCAGGTTATGCATTTCAGCGGTTTCGCTTTGAACTGCCAGTATCCCACCGAGAGGAAAAAAAAAAAAAAAAACCAAAGAAGCTGTTCTTCCACCAAGTGGGCCCAGCCCCCGAGGCTCCCCCGCCCGCCCGGCACCGGCAGTAGCGAGCCTAGCTGGAAGAGAGCGCGCGAGGCGGGGGCGCGCGACTCTCAAGCCCGGCCGCCGGCTCCCCCAGGCTAGGCTGCAGCCAGTCCCTCCGCCCCGCGCCCCGCCCCGGCAGCACGTCCCCAGCTCCGTGAGCAGAGCCCCCCTGGGTCGCGCTACTGCTCTGGGGAAGAAAGGAGCCCCGGCGGGCGCTCGCACGTCTCGCTCAGATAAAGATCGCGGCTTCATGATTAACTTGGGCAGGTTCAAATATTTGCTGAGCTAGGGATTTGGGGAGGGGGAGGGGCACCCAAGTCAAAGTCAAAGTTGTCATCAGGCTGACAAGTGGCCGAGGCAAGACTAACTTGCTCGTTTTCGCCCTGGAAATGAGAAGGGCATTGTAAGGGGGTGCTGAAAATAGTCCTCCCTGGTGGCCATGGTGCCTGTATGCGCTAGCAACCCCCGCTCCGGGGGCTCAAGTGGCCCGCAGTGAGGCGGCACAGGAAATAACCCAGCTAGTTCAGCAAAAAATAGAATCAAAGCCGCGTTTGTGAAGGCCTGAACCTCTCGGAACAGCCCAGAACAGGGTGCCTCACTCTCGTGTCCACCTCCTCCCACACATTGGCACAGCTGGCCCCGCAGGTGTAACAGGAAAGCCCTTCACAGAGAGCACACACTGGCTGGCAGCCCCGGGAGGGCATCCATGCAAGCCCAGATTTTAAGAGGTCAACTTCAAGGTCCTAGGACTTCCTAATCAGACTTTCTAAGAGGTGTGTCAGCACTGGGTTAACTGCCGGCTGGGCGTGGCAAAGGACAGAACAGAGGAGGACATACCTTCCTGCCAGCCAGGATTCCAGTCCTTTATTTGAGACAGTTACAACTAGCTAGGTTTAGGATTGTGGGCTGGTCAGAAAAGAACTCAAGACGTCCTAGGAAACATTCCCATAGCATCCACACAGAAGCACCTACTTTAACCTTTTGAACCATAACTAAATGTCACAAAAGCTCCCAAATCTTAAAACATAACAGTAATTTAGATATCACCCAGGCAATTCCTCAAGCTATAGGGAAGGGGGAAAAAAAGACAAAAGAGATGTTTGGTCCTAAACTCCATCCCCTGCTCTTAGCTTTCCTTGGTCAGGGAAAGTAGAAACTTGTAAGAAACAGAATTTACTTTCTAATTTTAGGTTATCTAAAAAAAAAAAAGATTCATACCTATAACAAAACTCTGGCTTTTTTGTTTTTTTTTCAAGAAAAATAAATTTGCTTTGTTATTTCTAAGCATCACCCTGCTTTAAAAAGAGTCCCTCTGGGAGAAACAGACACAGTGACTTCTCAAGCATACCTGGATCCACCTCAGAACCTCCTAGAGATTACAATGTAAATGTGATAGTCTCTGAACAAAAGTATCTGGGGTAAAGTGATATACCCTTGAAAAGCCTTCAAATAGGCATGAACACCTTGTTTCAAACAATTTCCTCACAATATGTACAATATGTACTATGGAGGCTCTATAATGTGACTGCAAGTGTGAGAAGACTCTTTCCCCACTGGTAAGACTCATGCTTCATTAGTTTAAGGAGGGAGCCCTCTGCTGGCAGAACTCAGTATAGTACTCCTGCTTGAGAGAAAACGGTCAACTTTCC